CGAGAGAAATTTTAATTTTACTCGTATTGTAGATTACATACCTACGCATCCATTGTTCTTGTCAGCAAATTCAAGTTCAAAACAATCGTTCCAAGAACAAATGCAGGTTTAGTAGGAAAAATGGATTTAGTTGAATGCACGAAAAATGTAATTGTTAAGTATTTCTTCTGCGTAGTATAACGAGGCGACTCGCGTAGTACATTTCTGATGTCTTGTTAAGGTACCTATCTCGATTATTATTATAGACAGATAGAAAATTAAGGGTCACTTTTAGCGATACATCTTCAAGTCAAAACGAATTTTCGATGTTTTTTAGTTTTTAAGTCAAATAATTAATATTTTATATTTTAAAAAGATGTTCTGTGCTTTCAAAAAGTATATTGTTTGTTGTACTTATCACAAAAAATAAAAAAAATTGGTCAGTCTTTTTTCCCAATTAAAAAGCAGTTTGCCTTGATTAAAAACAAATGCATTACTAAACAGAATTTAATGCAAATATGGTAAATAGCTAATGTAGTAAATGTGGAAAATCTAGAAATTTAGTAAATGTGAAAAAAACGAATCTATACAGTTGATGAGGTAAATGGAAACTGATTAATTTGGAAAAACATAACGGCATGTCTCCAACTATTATAATTATTGCGAAAATACGTTGAAATAATGATTGTTTTATAACTCAGACAGATTTAAAAACAGTTTAATTAAAAAAAAATCAAGTAGGTACTATTTTAAACAGCGCTACTTAATATGAAAAATGTTGCATAACATCTAGGCGTGACTTCAAACAAATTAAAAAAAATTAAGTAAATAACTTTTGTTTCCCAAAAAAAACTTTCAAGTTAAAATGTCTTAAAACACAGCAATTTTTGGACAATTCTATAGTTTGCAAAAGTAGCGCAGAATTTAATGGTTTTCATATGGATATTTCAAAGGTCCTGTCATCGAGGAATTTGTTTGGATCCCTGCACCATCCATACACAACGAAGAAAAATTTTGTCAATCACAAAATTTTGAAGTAATTTATATGCACTTCACTTTTTACACTTAATTGCCGAGATGGAACCCTGAAAAGTTTACAATCTCAATTTACAATTTTGATATTTCTATATTTATATTAAATTTACACTTACATTTCGATTGCCTTGAGTGCAGTGAAAAGTTAGAAATATGCCCTCTGGACTCGCACCCTTCTACCTATTTTACAGTAATGAAGCTGTTTCATGTGCTCTATATTTTTTTTTTTTGGAAAGAACAACTTCCCTTTCGTCTTAACTAACTCAGTGAAATATGTTTTAAAAACAGCCCTGTACTTTGTGCTATTCCCAATTGTTTTGAATAACACAATAAATATGCAAAGGTGTTAAATCGTGTACCTTTCTGATCTGAATGTCTTCAACGTCCTTATGTATCAGTTTCTTTGTTACTGGAACTAACCAATTTTGTTTTAGAAAAAAATAAATCAGATGTTAATATTAACCTAGATATGGTGAAAATAGGTAATACCTACCGTCGATTTGGAACAATCGCTCAGTATTCTAGTGGCATAATTGAAAAGCCTATATATTAGTTTTATCCGGGCTATAATTCACAACGGAAATTATTAATGGAAATTAATATATCATAAAATTATGCTGGAGTAGGTTTTACAAATTAATTAATCCTGTGAATATAATTCCTGCTAATAACCTCTATTAGAGGATGTATGCGTTCATATTAAACGAAACTCGTATGAAAAGCGGTGTTGAAGTTTCTTGTCCAGGTTACTATAATTTTACATCACGGTTTGTAGATACATGTGATCAAGTACAGAATCTAGGTCTTAGTCTGAGCTCAATTTATAACAATTTAATGTAGAATATAAAAAGTTTATTTGGTATTAATTAATTTAGTAGATATGGTTTGATTCCATGCAGTAAGACCCATTTTAATGTAATGAAAGTAAATGTGGAGATAGTACTTTGTATGGGTCATGAACGTTGTCGTGGTTAATTAATTACTGAAAACCAGAGTCGACATTCGATCACCCCTCTTAATGGCTCCGCTATCCTTGAGGTGGATCTTGTCTGTTGTTTCTTACCTTTGACCTTACTGGATTTGAGTAATTTCTAATATTTTCTAGACCTGTCATCGAAGGTGGCTGAGTTTTTAGACTTATGTTCATCATGTCGTCCATTGGTTCTGTTGTTTTATTTCATGATTTTTTTGAGAAACCCCTGGTAGACTTCGACCAATAGCATCGGTCTCTCTAAACATTATCTGTCCTGGTTTATGTACCTAAAGCGATTTTTGGCTCCACGGAAAGCTTGACGTTAGACTCGAAACATAGCTGAAAATTGTTAATCTTAACCGGTGTTGTCTTAATGGGTTTGGTGAAAGACTCGATGTCCTTGGTGCATACTGTTCTACTTCACTAGTTTTGAAGCTTTCTCAAGCTTAAACAAGAAATTTGTTAGCTCGGAACTCTTCACACGGCACCATCTTAAAATAGTAAAGTTTTGCAAATGGCTTTCATAAGAAAGCATGTGTGATGCTGATTTCACTAAGTTTGTTCTAGTAATGGATGAAGCAACTTTTACAGTCGATGCAATGAATAAATTATTTATGAAACAGGGCTATGTAAAATCCCCATGTTATACGTCGTACAAATTTCCAGTCAAATATTTTTTAATGTTGGGGCTGTACGCTAATTGGCCTATTTAAACTACCAGACCGAATTTTAAAGGGAAATAAGAAAAAAAATGTAAAAAAAAACTGAAAACGGTTCTGATATCAAGACAAACAAAACTTATCGGCAGCCGGGACGTTATTCATGAGTTATTCAAATCACTCCAGCTTCCAGCAAGCGTGAACTGCAAATTTGTTAAAGGTTCTCCGTGCGGCGCAGTCCAGGTTGCAAGGAGAGCTATACAAAATACCGAATTAAGGGGTGATTTATGAGTATGTTGGAGAAATTGCTCCAAATTAACGTCGCACTTACGTAAATTTATGGCCTGAAAGAGTGAAATAAAAATAGAACACATTTCTGACTTCCGCATCGTTAAATAATCGGACGAATTTATTATGGTTCCCTGCCTTAGGCGCCTTCGTCTCGCATTGCTAAGATTAAAATAAGCCGTAACTGGGATTCACCTTCGACAGAATTAATCGGCTTAGAGCAAAGTCTCTGTTCAGTTAATACAATTCAAATATTACTAAGTACTCTACATCAATAAAAATACTTGAAATTAGTTCATCAGCAATAGGTACTTCAAATAATTAGCTTACGTTAAACTGAACCAACCGCAACAATAACACAGCTACACAAAAAAAGTCCAAATCCAAGAGATCCACATACTTCCGGCGGATTTCGATGCACTGAACATGATTCTGTGTAGTAAAATTTAAGACTTCCCGATGAATTTCTAAGAAAAGTGAAATTTTTGGGGTGAAAACTGGCGCAAATATGGATCAAAACTGATTTTTCTCTTAAATTTTGTCCAAATATATAATTTTCGTACACTAAAATAAATGGGCTTATTAAACTGTTTCTCTAGAATAATGTGTATAGGGCATATTAAAACTTTTATAACAAATATATAACTTTTTTTTAAAAAATCAGTCATCTCCATACTCACTATTCAATGAATTTAACTAGAAAGTGCTTAATATACATTATGCATCTATGAAATAAAGGTTGTAATGAATTACTTATACAGTATTACGTGTTATAGGCTTTATGTTCCAATTGTATAGTAGGGAAGATTTGTTGTATAAAGACCAGTATCCGAATTTGTTATAACAATTGTATTAACAGAATTATTCGTTTTCATAATGATTATGTTTCCGTTTTTAACGTAAAAACGCCTCTTAAATGATCGTAAAATTTCCGACAGTCTGCTGTGCATCGACTATTAAACTTCTAGTTTGATGAAAATAAACAGTATAGGCACATGTTTTGTGGGATACATGATTATATCGTGTTGTGTGAAATGGAAAATTATCTAACTGTTTTATGATTTGAAATTGTTTTGTTTTTTCAAATGTAAATCTTGTCTAAATATTAAAAATTATTATCTTGTATGCCTCATTAAAAACCGCTGATGTTAAGCTTTACATAAGATGGAGGAACAGAAGGCTGACGGTGACAAAGAAGAGCATGGGTAAAGTCAATCAACCAGAGGAAATAAAATTAGAAGAAAAGAAGCTCAGCCTTTTCAGGAGAGGCTTCATTGTTGAGGTGGAAGAGTTATAGTGCAAATTCTCATGTAAAACAAGAAAATACGGGTGCATCGTTATACTAAGAAAATAAACTGGACAGTCTTGGGAGCGATTTATCATCATTTGTAATACTGAAATGTGTGTTATATGTTTACATTAGAACTTCAACTTGTAATTACAATTAGACAATAAAATATTTGAAAACTTAATGTCACATGTTTTTAACTCATATAGAGCATACAACAGTTTAATACATTTATTATTACAAAACTTATAATTAGTACTATAATTATTGTTCTAATAACGATATCGAACACGTTAATAACAGTTATTGCTATCATTTCGTAAAGGGTATATAAAAAACGTTGTATATTAGTTACACAATAATTTAATAAAGAATACGGTTTATAGTCACTATACAACTGTGTTAGCAATACGCATTTTATATCCAATATTCACCTGTTTATCTGTCACATATAGTATACAATGGTCTTATAATGGCATATAGAATTCTAATAAAAAATTAAGCGCATTTCATTCAGTGTAGTATTTTGAGACGCTAATCACGATGTCATTAGTAACATTAGTAAAATTTACCTATGACCTCGATATTTCTCAGGAAATCCATATTTGGGCCAGTTTTCAATCAAATAATAGATTTTTTGAGAAAATGGGTAAATTTTACTAATGTTACTGATGGCATCGTGTTCAGCATCTCAAAATACTAAGAAAATGATACATTTAGCTAAAATTCAGGAAAAAATTAGTTTTAACCCATATATGGCAATAGATTTTTTGAGAAAATGGGTAAATTTTACTAATGTTACTGATGGCATCGTGTTGAGCATCTCAAAATACTAAGAAAATAATACATTTAGATAAAATTCAGGAAAAAATCAGTTTTAACCCATATATGGCAAGTTTTCACCCAAATACTGAATTTTCTGAGAAATATCGAGGTTATGGGTAAATTTTACTAATGGTATCGTGTTCAGTGCCTCAAAATACCACGAATATTATATATTCGGACAAAATTTAGGACAAAAATAGTTTTAATCCATATTTGAGCCAGTTTTCATCCAAAAATTTCACTTAAATTGACTACAGGATCGTGTTTATCGCATCGAATTCCTTCGGAAATGATGCGATTGGGTCTATTGGAGTTTTTTTGTGTGTCTGTGTAATAGTTATTTTTCTAGTCCCAATGTTTTAATAAATTTATTAGATATTTACTATCTACACTAATGAAATTCATTGAAATACAGATTTTTCTTTAAGATAGAAATTTATAACCAATAGAATGCAACATCAACATCAAATACATATTGAATATAGAATTAATAATCAATTAATTAATAATGAAATATTGAATTTAGAATTTATCAATTTATCATAATTAACGTTTACCTTGTAAATTCACCGAAAGAAATGCGTTTTATTCTTTATTAGAATTATATATACCATTATAAGACCATTGTATACTATATGTGACAGTTAAACAGGTGAATATTGGATATAAAACGCGTATTGCTAGCACAGTTGTATAGTNTATGAATTTCCATTTTGACAGTAACCTAATTTATTTGACGTTTGAACGTAATTATTTGTTTACCATTAAAATCCCTCAACCTGCGCTCATGATTCTAGTATTGGTATCAAAAACTGGTATGCCGCACATCAAAATTCAGTATGAGGCGGCACGGTCAATCATTCTCGTTCACCCTGTATAAAGACCAGTATTCGAATTTGTTATAACAATTGTATTAACAGAATTATTCGTTTTCATAATGATTATGTTTCCGTTTTTAACGTAAAAACGCGTCTTAAATGATCGTAAAATTTCCGACAGTCTTCTGTGCATCGACTATTACACTTCTAGTTTGATGAAAATAAACAGTATAGGCACATGTTTTGTGGGATACATGATTATGTCGTGTTGTGTGAAATGGAAAATTATCTGTTTTATGATTTGTAATTGTTTTGTTTTTTCAAATGTAAATCTTGTCTAAATATTAAAAATTATTATCTTGTATGCCTCATTAGAAACCGCTGATGTTAAGCTTTACATAAGATGGAGGAACAGAAGGCTGACGGTGACAAAGAAGAGCATGGCTAAAGTCAATCAACCAGAGGAAATAAAATTAAAAGAAAAGAAGCTCAGCCTTTTCAGGGGAGGCTTCATTGTTGAGGTGGAAGAGTTATAGTGCAAATTCTCATGTAAAACAAGAAAATACGGGTGCATCGTTATACTAAGAAAATAAACTGGACAGTCTTGGGAGCGATTTATCATCATTTGTAATACTGAAATGTGTGTTGTATGTTTACATTAGAACTTCAACTTGTAATTACAATTAGACAATAAAATGTTTGAAAACTTAATGTCACATGTTTTTAACTCATATAGAGCATACAACAGTTTAATACATTTATTATTACAAAACTTATAATTAGTACTATAATTATTGTTCTAATAACGATATCGAACACGTTAATAACAGTTATTGCTATCATTTCGTAAAGGGTATATAAAAAACGTTGTATATTAGTTACACAATAATTTAATAAAGAATACGGTTTATAGTCACTATACAACTGTGTTAGCAATACGCGT